CCCCCCCCCCCAGCCCCACCAATGGCTTCCCTGCCTGGCCGCAGCTCCTGGTTCTTTAAAAAAAAAAAAAAGAAAAAAAAAGCCCCAGCTGCTCACCTGCTGCTGCAGCAGCTGTTGGGGCTTCTGGGGGCTTGTGGCAGAGCCCCACGCACTGTGCAGAGCAGTGGAGTGTAGCGGGGATTGCCTCCCCGCCTGGCAGGAGCCAGTGAGTGCAGGGCTTTTTTTTTTGTTTTTTAAAAGATCTGGGATGCTGGGGCCAGGCAGGGCAACCATTGATGGAGCTGGGAGAGCGGGCAGGGGATGGGGCCTGTTTGGTTCAGAGATTTGGCAGCAGCCAGATTCGGGCAAATTGATTCACAACAGCGATTCGAATCACCGAATCGAATCACTGTCCCCTGAATCAACTGAATCCGAATCCAAAGTGAATACTAGCTGCTTCGTACAGGCCTAATAGCCATTCATAGCATCGGGAGCAGACTGTAGACCTATGCAAACGCATGCCTCTGAATGAGTTAGCCTCTAAGGTGTCACCTTACCGTGCCTTCTCTCTACTTCTAAACTTTTAAAGACAAATGTAGTAAATCTTCCTTGGGTTTCACAGACTTAAAAGTATTTTTCATACAGAATAAGATGTCAGTGGTTTTGATAACCATGTAATAAGCTGCGAGACAAATATAATGCCCAATCACCTTCTAGGTTTTCCATTGGCTTCTGTTCCTACAGTTTCTTGTAACAGACTCGATGAGTTGGGTTAAAGTTTACTGTATTGAAAGTGGACATTTTAAAGCACTTTTAATGCTTTATACTACTTTTTCCATTTAATTTTGATTACTACTTGAAGAAAGTAACTGACTACCGATTCTCTTCTAAATATATCTGACACACCTCGTAAGCTGTTGACTTGAAATCTGGATGGCAAGCAACATTAATTGCCAATAGTCAGATCTTATTTACGGCCCCATGCCTTATGACAAACTGCAAACTACACAGGAAACAAAATTGAAGCTGTTCCACACACACCTTTTTTTTGCCATTGGGCTTTGTCACAGCACTCATAGTTTTCCTGTCAGAAGTTTTCTACTGATAAAATGAAAGCTAGTTTGAAAATACATTTTAAAAGTGTGTGTGTGTGTGTGTGTGTGTGGATCAAACACGCACAAAAACATGAATACATCAAGTAAATTCGTATCTGTTTGAAATGTGGCTAAATCCAACCTCCTCCCATGAAGAAGATATTTCCAGAGTCTTAACAAAAGCCCACATAGAAGCAATGAAAACTGAAGTTTAAGATGAACCTGATTACAAAGCCACTTTTGTCTTGGCATCATGCAGAATCCACAGAGCAAATTAAGCTGGCTGATTTCTGGACAGCTTCATGAATTGTGTGGTAAACCGCAGAGAGAAATTTGGAATGTTAACAGTCTTGTTGACCAGCCCTGAAGTGGGTGGAAGTTGTGCATAATTTATGATACCCCTAATTGTCACTGCAAATTGCATTCCAGAAAAGCAATTCAGCAGCTGGGTGCTAGTTATATTGGAGGCAATCCAGTTCTGCCGAGTTGGCTCATCTGGTCCTTCCGTTACCTAGAAGAAAGCAAATCCTATCATGGGCCTGATGTAACACATCCTGGTTCCTTTGTAAATCAGACTTAAGATAGGGCACCTGCTGAAAGATGTTTACAGTATTTGCTTATGTGGATCTCTGTTCTGAATTCCTAATATTTCCTCATCAGGTCCAGCTGTATTTTGCCTGTTTGCCAGAGGAGAAAGTCCCTTACATTAACAGCCCTGGAGAGAAATACAGAATTAAACAGCTTCTATATCAGCTGCCACCCCATGATAATGAGGTAAATACGGTATTTAACTCAGGGCATGCTTCTGTACTACCAACTGCTTGTGAGAGCAGGACTTATCTTACTGGTAATTTGTTACTTAGCCAAAAACAGCACAGACAATGTTATCTAACCTATAAAAGTCAGCATAGTATGTATGTACACTGTTGAATTTATTCTTTTAGTTGTCCATTTTGGTTCTTCTCAGACAAGAACTGTCTAGCTGGATGTAGCCTTTTCTTGCTAAGAAAGCTTGTGTCCGTGCAATAAACTTAACAGAAGTTGGTTTTATAGTGTTTGCAACCACCCACCAATTACCAGGAACCTGCAAATTCCTGAGATTTTACTGTAGCACATAGAAAGGATGCTTTGTGACAAAGGTTTAAGGGCTTAGATATTCTGTGTCATTTGGGGTAGAAGTGGAAGTAACAAACCCCTTGTAGAAAGAAGTAATTAGTGCTTAGGTGTGCATACTGCAATACGTAGTGTGACTAGCATCCTTTAAATCCATTAACACAAACATAGTTTAACATAAACCACTATACAGAACTCTAGACAGCAAGAGTTTAATATGCCATTCAGCTATTTCTAATTTAGCTAGTTAATCTTTAATGCAAAATGTCTCTTTACACTTATCTTGTACTGTAACATGTGAAAGATTTCCTTTTTCCTACATTTTGCATTTTAAGAAAAGTTAGGAAAAGCTTCTTGGTACATTTAATAGGAACAATGTTCTTAAATTTATATTTAGTAATTAACAGAATGTAAATGGGAAATAGCTTAGTATCTAAAATATGTACTGTATGTCTTCTGTTGAAGGTCAGATATTGTCAGTCTTTAAGTGAAGAAGAGAAGAAGGAACTGCTTATGTTTAGTGCTCAGCGTAAGAAGGAGGCATTGGGGAGAGGCACTATTAAACTACTCTCAAGAGCACTAATGCATGCAGTTTGTGAACAGGTAATTTTATTACCATAAGGAATCTAGCTGTATTAATACCACAGATCTTAAACATGCTTGATATTTAATACAGTCTGTCTTGATCTCTACTTGGTTGTCCTCAAAGAGGAATTATGGAATATTAATAAAATTCTATATGGACAGAAAAAAGAAAATGACTTGTTGTTCCAAAGTCTATATTGATGTGAATCAGTTGCACAGAACCACAGGTGTGAATATAACCAAACAATTTTCATCTGAAAATTTGTTTTAAAACACATAGCTAGTATGAATAGTAAAACTTTTTTTTTCAGGAAAACTATGTATAATCCAAAAATATTTTTTTCCCTTTTTGACAAAAAAAAAATGGAATAAATGTCAGTGTATGGGGTTTTAATGCTACTGTAAAGAAGTACCCAATGGTGGTATTCCTGCAGTGGAAAGCGTTTAAAGTTTTTTTGCGGGGGGTTTTATGTTTGCAGTGTGGCACAAAAGTAAATGGAGGTGAAGTTGCTGTTTTTGCTTCAAGAGCTGGACCTGGAGTATGTTGGCATCCATCTTGTTTTGCATGCTCTACATGCAATGAGATGCTTGTTGACCTAATCTACTTCTACCAAGATGGAAAAATTCATTGTGGTAGACATCATGCTGAACTTCTCAAGCCTCGTTGCTCAGCCTGTGATGAGGTAAATACACCTTATAATTAGCCCCATATGTTCACAGAACCCACCATTAGCAGGATGATAACCTGCCATATTACTTACCCAATTAAAATATTAGGATTTTTTTTTTTTAATGGATACCCATAGGCTGCATGGGCTGGAATATGTAGATATCAACCACTACTCCAGCATCCCAATGTAGCTTGTAAAATCAGCTATTCCACAAGTGCCGGAACTGAATTTACAAAGAGCCTGCTTGCATATCTGAGATTTGCTTCAACTCTGGTTTTGATTCTAAAGAGAACTTGTACAAAATTAATCTAGGATTTTTAACACAGACCATCTTATTCATTGTTCAAATTATTTTGATCTTGGTTTCATTTTATATAAAACAGATGTGTTTTAAGTTACTATGTATTATTTTGAAGCATTTAAATTATATTTAAATTATTTAAAATAAATATTTAAAATGTTATTATTTTAAATTATTATTTATTACATGGCCATAAAGCTGACATGCATTTGCTTTAGTTATACTAATGTTTTGCTCTTTCATTAATACTGAACACAAATAGAATTGGTAAATGTATTAAGTGGCAGTCTGTTACCTGCACAGAATGGGTACTTTCCCTTTTTTGATCCAAAGAACGGTGTGTTTGGATGCTTGCCTAAAAGTTTACTTTTATCTTGTAAGATCATCTTTGCGGATGAGTGCACAGAAGCTGAGGGTCGCCATTGGCACATGAAACATTTTTGTTGTCTCGAGTGTGAAACTATCCTTGGAGGACAAAGATACATAATGAAGGATGGACGCCCATTCTGTTGTAGCTGTTTTGAATCTCTTTATGCAGAGTACTGCGAGACCTGTGGGGAACATATAGGTAAATATATCTTTCTGATTGGAATCTCACAGGACTCGGAAAAAGTTCCAGTTTTAGACAGGTTTCTGTCCTACAGGGAAGCTTCCTAGCCCCTCTGCTGTGCTCAGACCGTGAACATACACACAGTAGGTAATTACTTTGCATCATTCTTACAGGGTTGTTCTACTAACAGACCCCAAATTTCCTTTCCATGTCTGACAATTTCTGGTTTATACAGACAAAATTATACATGATTCCCCATAAGGAATGCCAGGACTGTAGAAATATTTCAGCTTGAGTAGGTTTCTAGCTTTTACAGGCTCCATGTTAGACAGGTTTTACTATATTGTTTGAGGTAGCTGAACTGCATAAATATGCTAATTTCTTAGTCAAAATGCTGTGGGTATTTTAATGCATGGCTATTTTAGTCATGACTTTAATAACTGTTCTGTATCTACCAGGTGTTGACCATGCTCAGATGACTTATGATGGACAGCACTGGCACGCTACAGAGACCTGCTTTTCTTGTGCTCAGTGCAAAACCTCTTTGCTGGGTTGTCCTTTCCTTCCCAAGCAAGGACAAATTTACTGTTCAAAAACCTGTAGTTTGGGAGAAGATGTTCATGCCTCTGACTCCTCTGACTCTGCCTTTCAGTCTGCCCGATCAAGGGACTCTAGAAGAAGTGTTCGTATGGGAAAGAGCAGTCGGTCAGCTGACCAGTGTAGACAGTCTCTTTTACTGTCACCAGCACTGAATTACAAATTTCCTGGTCTTTCTAGCAATGCAGATGATACCCTTTCTCGCAAGCTGGATGACTTAAGCCTTTCAAGGCATGGGGCAAGTTTTGTTAATGAAGACTTCTGGAAAGGAAGAGTAGAACAAGAAATGCCTGAAGATCCTGAAGAGTGGGCTGAGCATGAAGACTATATGACTCAACTACTTATAAAGTTTGGTGATAAAGGCCTCTTCCAGCAGCCCAGTGAAGTAGACATCAGATCAAGTGAACACTGGATTTCTGATAGCATGGCCAAAAGCAAGTCTGAACTGAAAAAAAATAATCAAAGCCTGGCAAGCAAAAAATATCAGTCAGATATGTACTGGACCCAGTCACAAGATGGCTTGGGTGATTCTGCCTATGGCAGCCATCCAGGCCCTGCCAGCAGCAGAAAAATTCAAGAGTTGGACATGGAACATGGGGCTTCAGGATACAATCATGATCAGACACAGTGGTACGAAGGCTCATTGGAATGTCTGTCAGATCTGAAACAACAAGAACAATGTGTTCGTGACTCAATGGATTCATTGGCTTTGTCTAATATAACAGGTAACCTCATAATGAAAAACGAAGTGCTTTGTTTTGCAGGTGAACTAGGAAAGGGATCAGTGGGTGTTAATTCTTCACATGGTTATTTCTTTAAATTACTACACCTACTCAAATGCAAGCCAAGGTTCTGCCTCCATTTAAACATGGGAGGAGGAGAAAGCCCTGTGTCTTGGATTTGAGTACAAGGCAGGGGTGGGGTGTGCAGGTTGGGGCCAGAGAGACAGCTGCTGCCTGCCCCACCATTGCCTCTGTCCCCTGCCTCACACCCCTGCTGCAGCCCAGACCAGAGTTGCTGCAGATACTGGGCCAGGCTAGGATTGGGGGGGAGGGGTGTGGGAAGCAGAGGGAGCAAGTTGGGGGTGGGGTAAGGGGCAGGGGTGAGGCAGCTTGATTTCCCCCACTGCCTAGCCCTGCCACTGCTTTCCTTGCTGCAGGAGGGGCAGGGGGCACATTTAATACAACCCCCCAATAATTAGATTCTATACATGGAAAATTTATAACATTTATACATTTTTCCATGTATGGAAAATCTAACTGATTGGGGAATTGTCTTAAATTCAGTGTCATCTTGGATTCTGGTGAATGCAGTATTCCAAATGCTTTTAAATTAAGTTTTTACAAATGCCAGATTTATCCCTGAGTTATATGCCTCCAGCCTCATGGAAGCTGATTGGAAAAGTGTATGTATGTACCTGACACTAAGATCTGGCGGGTTTTATTTTCTTATACTTGCAAGAGAAACCCCAAAACCTGAACCATGTGGTAGTAGCAGCAATGTTATCAACTAGCTCAAGGCAGTTCCTTGTTATCTAATCCTACCAGTTCACGTCAGGAAAAAAAAATTGCATCAATGTGCAACAAATCTGCATGCTAAATATGAAAACGAAACCCTATGGGTGATAGAACCTAAAAGCAATTTTGTAAAATTGGGATTTTTGCTTGTATCTGTATTAAGAGATGAAAGTGAGTGACCTTTTTTTTTTAAAAAAGGTTCCTGTCCACACTGGCTGGTTTATCTCCAGCTAAAATCCCCCCTCCTCCCCCTTGCCCTTTCCCCCCAGCATTTTAACAATATGCAGAAGACCAGCTTTGTATTTTCTAGTTTGCTTTGGAAGAATTATTGGGACTATGTAATGTGTCATCAGTCCTAAACTGAAAATGTTGTATCTTTTGTAAAGGCATCCTTAAAAAGTCACTAAACATTTAAATTCAAATGTTTAAAAACAGTTTTACAGGCTAAATCTTATCCCATCCCTTTCAAATTGTTCCACACTGTTGACATCCTTATGCTGTTCTCCAGTAATAATAGTCAAGATCTAAACTTTTGATTAAAAAAAAACCCAAACCCAAACCATACATTTCAGGGCTTATTTATACATCAAATGAACAAAAAACAAGAATATTTTTCTTGGTGTAGTCAATCTTTTAAATCACACATTCTATCATAAGCCCTGTTTACTCAATAAATCTTTATTCAAACTTGAAAAAAAATGGTCAAGATGCCTCATTACAACTTCTATATAAAAATGTATTTTAACTGGCTTTTCCCCCAGGGGCTTCGGTGGATGGAGAAGGCAAGCCACGGCCATCTTTGTATTCTTTGCAAACCTTCCAAGAGTTGGAAGCTGAGGAATGCGAGAAAATGAGTAATATGGGAACTCTGAATTCTTCAATGCTCCATAGGAGTGCAGAGTCTTTGAAAAGTTTAAGTTCAGAATTGTGTCAAGAGAAGATAATATTGCCAGAAGAAAAGCCAGTGCATATGCCTGTACTTAGAAGATCCAAATCCCAGTCTAGACCACAACAGGTAAAGTTTTCAGATGATGTTATCGACAATGGAAACTATGAGAGTGTTGAAATTCGTCAGCCTCCAATGAGTGAGAGAACTCGTAGGCGTGTTTACCATTTTGAGGAACGTGGACACCGCCATCAGCGTCGTCGCAGGAGAAGTAGAAAGTCTCGTTCTGACAATGCACTTCACCTGGCTACAGAAAGAAGATGCTCACCAAAAGAGAGACTTCAGTTTTACTCTCCTCAGGATCATGACAAATTTATCCAAAATAAAAGTCCACATCAGATTCAGGCATATATTCAAAATGCAGAGCTGTATGGACAGTATGCCCATGCTACTTCTGATTATGCGCTGCGAAACCAGGTGGTTGATAAATTTTTTGGACTATATGGTGATGAAGATGATTCCTGGTGTTCAACTTCATCATCATCTTCATCTGACTCTGAAGAGGAAGGATATTTTCTAGGACAACCAATACCACAGCCACGTTCATTAAGATATCCATACTATACAGATGATCTTTCTAGTCCAACTACTGCACTGTCCAGTTCTCAGTTTGGGCAAAGGACAACCAAATCAAAGAAGAAAAAAGGACATAAAGGCAAAAACTGCATAATTTCTTAACATCTTATGTTTAACAGTTGAAGACCAATTTTGTAGTTACTTGTCTGAACCATTTTTCAAATTGTGCCTAAGCAAGTTGTTAATGCTTTGCCAATGTCAATGATAACTACTGGTGTTTACAATGTAAAACTAACATTCAGAAACATTGTTTCTCCAGGTAACAGCTTAAACTTGCCAAGCTTACCCAATAAGTTGTAGCTGTTCTACTCTTTGTTAGTGTCTGTAATAAAAAATGCAGTATGTGGACATTTAAACTTGGGTGACTAGCATGTCAGTCCATTTGAGAAAAGGGTGCAATAACATGAATGAACTGTAGATTCATTATTTTTCCTTTATTGTTGCTTTATGTATACAAATGGCTTTTATCTTTTCGGGCTTTTTCCTTAGAGTGAAATGCCCACACTCCCGAGATCAGAAGTCACACCCTGACTTCTTTCACAAGAGGTCTCTGTCTCTAGAAACTGGAATTTTAATCTCTTGTTGTATTTGAATCTCATGTACAACTTCCATACTTTTTGTGTGTGCTATTCTTCCAAAGAGTACTTCAGTAAAAGGATGCAAATCCAAACCTGAGTGTAGAAATAGCTGCAGCCATCTTCATATACAGGCAGTCCTCAACTTACAACGTGTCAAGTTATGTTTCACACTTACAACTTTTATAAATCGACACCCTGTTTCAACTTTGATGTCAGTTTTGACTTTATAACGCTCAATCTGACGCCAAGCCATGCCAGGGAACAAGTTCGCTGCATCACCCATCTCCCTGGAGAACCAGCATCTGTCCAAACTTCTTTGGATGCTTTCTTTAAGAAAGCAGACAAGACTCCAGAAAAACCTGCAACCAAGACTCCTGAAAAGACTCCAGCCAAGAGCCCTTCAAAAAGTCCAGCAAAGTCACCTCAAAGAAGTCCTTCCAAATCAATATGATTGCTGTTTACAATATAAATACATTAATGTAGCTATACTACTAATCTATAATTGATTGGGTACAACATTCTGGGTTATTTTTGGTGAAAATAGAATATAGGGCCTTGGTTCAGGAACCAATCTCCCATTTATAACATTGTTTCCTATGGGAAAATCAGTTCCGAGTTGCAACGTTTCGACTTAAGAGGCTGTTTTCAGGAACCAATCGTGTCGTAGGTCTGAGGACTGCCTGTACACTAAAGAAGCAGTAAATGGCCAATACATTTATCTTGTAGCTCGTTTCTTTAAAAGATAAGGATTCCATCCATACAGTCACTTTTTAGTTAACTAAATATTGAAACTATTAAATTAATGTAAGTATTGAAAATGTAGCTGTTTTAGAACTGGACTGGTTTGGCTTTATTTGGGGAGGGGTGCACATCACTGCAGTTGATGTTTAGTACCATGCTGTATTGCCCCCTCTGCCCCCATAACATTGAGGAGACAGTTGTGATCTAATGCTGGAAGCCCTTACTCTTGCAAGTAACCCCATTTTAAATAACAAAACTACTTGCGTGATAATGAACATTTGTGTAAGGATTTAAAAAACTAAGTCCAAGACTTATATCTTTTGAAACCCATTATCCAGGTTTTGTAAGTGTACTAGAGGCAATTATAAATATTTATAATGTAGTATTTCATAGACTAAAAGTGTATTCATAATTTAACAGTGCAAATATTAATGTACATATTGTATAGTTAAGATTTAAAAGCTGATTATTTTTATATCCCTGAATTCCAAGGAAGTTGTTACAGTACAAAACTAGATTTTATTAGGGGTTTACCAGCAGCATTATGGATGAAAAAAATTGCGTGTCTTTTAGTCAGGGTTTTAAGTTTAGAAACACCCAAAATGACATTATTTAGTGAGCCAAAGCATAATTTTCTCTTAAATATTAAAAGCTCTGTATGCATGGTGGGGCTGTGTAAATACTCTCTAACTATGGCCCTCTTAATCTTACAAGTGTTATTTATGGGTCAAGCAAAATGTAAACTGTATAAATGTAAAAACCACACAAACCTGGAATATATCAGTACAAACATCTAATGTCTGTGTGTGTGTTTCTATGGCTTTTGTTGTTGGCCTGCATTAGAGAACAGTTCACAGTGGCTTGTTTTGCATGTGTGACAGAAAACATTAAAAAGTTACAACATTTCATCAGTTGATTAAGTGTCAAACACTATACAGGAAATGTCAATTGTTACCCTTCAGCTCATGGGTATGGCAAGAACAATTTTGATTTAGTTGTAATAAATGGTCTACCTCTTCCAAAGCTCCATGCCTTAACCACAGGTGGAAGCTGTCTGTGTGCATACTGACATCTGCCAGTAAAAACATTTAACAGTAAAAACATTTAACACTTTTGATTAAAGTGCTAATGACTGGAGCATTTGACAGCCTGACCAAACATCATTAAACAAGAGAACAGAACAGGGGCTCCCTGAACAAGCAGCCTAACAAAGTGGCATGTTGGCAGCAAGAACCAATATCAAAGCTTTTCTGAAAATGTGGAAGAATATGAAAGTTCTTTGTAGCAGGGAACCTGGTGCTAGTCAGGAGATGCTAGGTGAGTGAACTACTCAAGACCCAGGGGTTTTTCAGTGATGAGCAAGACTTGCACAAGTTGCAGTCTTCATGTCACAGCAGTGATTGCCTAGGAGTAGAGATGTCCTGTTCGAATACTATTGAAACAGACCCTAAAGCAGCAGCCAAGAGCATGGTTGTAACTTCTGCTGCACCAGTCATTTTAATCCTCTAAAGTAGTAGTTCTCTAAACTTTTCAGAAAAATGACAGCGCTTAGCTTTGATTCATTTTTTGACAATAGAAAAATAATTGAGTTCTCAAAGTGAGAAAGACCACAAGAGGTCAGAATATTTTTGACACTAAATTCCTATTTGAAATCACTGGATTTATCTTGTGAGGCACATGTACACAGTTGTGCACACAGAGCAATGCTAATAGCGTTGGCATCCCATGGCATCCTTGAAAGGATCTAATGATACTATAGTTTGGGAATCACTACTCTAAAATGACTGATTACACTCCTCCAACTTCTCCTCTCCCCAAAAACTACCTTTAGGCTTTGATACCCAAAGAATATGCTGTAGATGCTAAGCAAAGTGGTACGTTCCATTCTAAACGAGAGAAATGAGGTACCCACTTGCCTTGATTCAAGACCCTGAGACGTGCTAAACTCATTCCCGATAAATATTTCTCTTGGCTAACGAAGCATGTTAAAACTGGGTCAAAGCATGGTCTAAGACAGTT